AATTTGGGAATGAAATTTTGATGTTTGCATTTAAGTAGAAACTGTAGATGATTCAAGAATTTCGTACGCTTAAGGCGTAACTTACAAAATCGGTTCCTGTCAGTGGACATATTGTGAAAAGGGCACAAGCAAGAAACAAGTGAACAAAAGAAATGTAATTCCGAAAGTCCAAACAAGTAATTACTTATAACATGAAAAAAACACCAATAAATAATGAAGACAATTTTCATCAACAAATGACAAAAACATTCCAAAAGGAGAGAAACATCCAATACGATTGACCGTGGATTTTCTCCCGTGATTATTGATAAAGCCGTCAAAAAATTTTCAGATTCCCATCAAAGAAGACATTCCACTGTTAGAAATAATATCAATGACCTTGTCGTGCTTCCAATTTTATCCTTCTGTTAGCTATAAAATTGCACGGATTCTCCAGAAATTCAATTTTCAAGTTGGTTTCTCCCCTATTAATAAAATTCACCCTTCGATTCTAAAAGATTGCGTTTCTGTCTTGAATTCTTGGGGAATTTATAGTATATCATGTCAGTGTGGTTTAAGATATATTGGCCAAACAAAAAGAGCGTTGAAGTTTCGTATCAAGGAACATGAATCTTATGTCAAAAAAGGGAAATTAACAAGTCTTCAATAGCGTATCATAGCTGGACTTTTAAAAATTAACCATAATTTTGATTTTGGGTCTGCAAAAATCATCCAAAAGGCTTCTTCCATAGGCGAATTGGATTTTCTTGAGGCTTTTCACATTCACAAAGATTTAGAAAGTTTTAGTTAATGATTTGAAGTCCAATCCAGTCCTTCCTAATGCCTTTTTAAAATTCTTCTGTCTTAATTCAATTATTTTTTTGCCGATAGATGGCGTTACCTCCTCGCACTTGGTACCAGAGGGTATAAAAATCCGTTCAGTGGTTGCTTTCCATTATTTGAAGTTCAGATTTTGAGCGTAATGTGCATTTGCCCCTCGCTCTCTATTTTAACTTCGCTAATATTTCTTTATGCTTGATCAGACAGCCTGGCTCAGTAAAAGTAGGCAGCCAGTGCAACTCTGATTAAAAATCTAGTTATAACCACGTGCAGTGCTGATAAGCACCACGTGTTTCTGTGATTCCTATTTTCTTCTTTCTATGTATTTCTTTCTCCTGATGAGGAGGGACCTTTAGCTGCCCTCGAAATCGATTGAGTGTTTCATTATACCTACGCTAAATATAAGGTTGTTTTTTACGATTTTGATTGTCACATTAGCGTGTTTCTCTTCTAGTCTATGTCAAATCATGTACAATATTGCAAAATTCTGCTCTTCAGAACCTTGGTGAGCTTCTCCAGCAACTGAAATACCTGAATTTAAAATTAAAAATCATACAAGAGCTTATTTGAAGCATCAGAGGAGAAGAGTTTCCATCCCTGAGAAAATTAAATGTTTGAAAAAAGATATTTTGGGTAAAGTTTTACATTCATCGGTACACAAAATATTCCAGTTTTATTTTCAGTGGAAGAAGTGCAGTAATAACTTAAATTTAATAAAAAAATTTAAATACATTTCTAAATATATTGAATAATTTTGTTATTCGTTGTTTACACATTAAATGTGTAAGCCTTACCTTTACTTCTAAATTTTACTAATCACTTGTTATAACTGTGTTCAAAAATGAAATTAGGAACTTGGCCCCTGTTTCCAATTAACATTTTAAAATTAATTAATCTAAATATTTAAAGATGAGGTTTTTAATTTTTACTAGAATATAATCAATAAAATTGAAAATTTTGAAACGAGAGAAATAACTGAACATAACTGTGTATTCATGTGTGTATTATCTTTCTCTTAACATTGTAAATCTTAAATTCCAATATAAAGAAGCTTTTTGGTGAAGCCGAATTAAAATGACTTACCGTTTAAAATTTATGAGGGGGGAGGACTAATTCTGTTATTTCACCATTTTATTCCTTTTGGGTTTATCCAAAATTCATAGCTATCCATAACTGGCTGTAACCTCGATCCAGTAGAGCGGTGTCAAATACCAGGGTATCTGAGTTCAAAGACCCTACCCGTTGTAGAACATGTCAAAAAATTACAAATACTGACAGGAAAAAAAGACCAATTATATTCTAGAAAAAGAGTAGGAAGAAAGCATGAGTATGTTAAAGTTTTAGCGAAAATTTAAACTAAGCAACATACTAGTAACAGTAGGTAGGAAAATCCGTCGAATGTGCATGTCTTCTAAAATCTGCTTCTTCTGCAATTCTCATGAGGTACAGCGTTGCCTTGAATATTGCGGATAATTTATCTGCAACCATACTTGCTTTCTTGATCTTGTCTATATGTGTGATGATGGTGCTTAGGAAGTCCCGTATTTTCTCATCTTAGAGCCAGTTAATGGCTTCACTTGCTTCTCTTGGGATATTGAATCTTCTTCCCTTCACTTAGTCACTGAAACTTGGTCTGGTTCCATTCTTTGCCTTTGACCTTGCTTCCTTTCCACTCGAGACGCTTAGACTTGGGAATTCCTCATCTGTTAGATTCGGGGCTGGGGGCCTTTTCCTTTCCTTTCTTTCAAACTTTTCTTGATAGGCCTTGCATCCATGGTAACTGCTAACATGTCCTTGCCCACGAGAAATGCAGGTAGGAGCATCTTCTGGTTTTCAGGGCATAACTTGGTGCTGTGGTTGTCTCCGCATTTACAACATATTTCTTGATATTTGCACAAGTGTTGGGTGTGGCTGTATTCCTAACATATATAACATTGTGTCGGATGCTTTCTGAGGACAAACTTCTCAATCTGTATATTGATGCTGAACATGTTATTCAGATAGAATATGGCACTTCCGGCAGCATTTCTTGTCAATTCCAGGAAGAAAATAGGCAGTTTTTCTGTCACTCCTCATCTGGTTCTAGTGAATCGTCTTACTTTTTGGATCAGGAATTTTCTTCGCAACAGCATCTGTTTCTTGTATATTCTTTTCAGCTGGCATGTATGGAATGTCTCGTCATTTTCCTGTAGTCGTCCGAGATCTTGACATCGACATAAATATTATTAGTTTTCATATTTGCCTTGTATTCTTCAGTACAGCAGTTTTGAAAAATTTCATCCACTTTCCAGTCCGTCAAATTTTGTCGAAACACAATGGGTGGGAGCACCTTTCAAATTCAGTTTGGAAGTTTTACATGGTCAACAAAACGGATGATTTGACAAGACCAGTGAAATGCCTTGAGACAGAATATTGGTGAGAGAAAACCGACCCTAAAGTGCTGGAACTGCGGTATTGAAGGCCACATACGAAGGAACTGCAGAACACCCCTGAGCACGGAGAGAACACCCCAGAGAGAAATTCCAAACTGAATTTGAAAGGTGCCCCCACTTATTGTGTTTCGACAAAATTTGATGGTGTGGCTGAAAGTGGATGAAATTTTTCAAAACTGCTGTACTGAAGAATAAGAGGCAAATATGAAAATTAACAATATTTATGTGCATGTCAAGAACAGTATTACAATATCTCACAGTAGTTATCTTTTAGCTACTCAAACGTTCAACAGAACTATTCAAAACAACTATAGAAAGCTAAACCGCGAATTCGCTACAGTCAACAAGAGCAGTTTTCTAAACAAACTCTTAAAACAACAACAAACTAACTTGTGTTCTCGTCGTTTTCCTGTAGTCATCCGAGTTCTTGACATACAGCAGTTTTGAAAAATTTCATCCACTTTCAGCCAGTTTATCAAATTTTGTCGAAACACAATGGGTGGGGGCATTTCCTTTATGATAACTCCACCTTCCCCATTAACATCTTTTTCTTCTACCTGTTTGAAGGGGGTTTTCATTCCTGATTTGCATGACAGCCTCTTTCTCCAGGGATTCTGCCGTTTTCCTTGGAATTTTCCATTCACTGTCCGATTTCTCATTATCCACCTGGCTCTCTGTTTCTTTCTGATCATCTTCGTTGCGCTTGAGTTTCTTAGCATTTTGTATGTCCTGTGGAGCCACCACTTGTTTGCAAGTTCCATAAGGTTTCCCATTCCATGATGCCTTAAACCTTCCATGAAAAGTGCCAATTGTACCTCCTCAGTTGAACCAGAAATGTCTATCTTTTCTTCTGTGCAAGATTTGCCTTTCTTCTTTTTTCCTTTCTTTACAAATTCCATTTCCTTTCCCATTCCATTTCGCCGGTTGAGATTTCGTCGATAATCTTGACCTGTCCGTGTCCATTCCTTCGTCATCCGTAGATTCAGACGCTGTCCTATGAAAGGACATTTTGTTGTATCCGAGGGTACCTAAGTCAAAATTAGAAATTGCAGTAAAAAATCATAAAACACTACACTGTCCGCCTACTGGACTGGGACAGCTACTGCACGCATCACTGCTCATTCCACAACCACCAGGAATTGAATGAGGCTGTAACTGAAAACACAAAAGTGCTTTCCTTGGCTTTACAGAAAAAATTTCATCATCCCTTTTGTAACTTTCCCCGTTATTGCTTCTATGTTAAGTCACAGAACAGTCACTGAACACCGATAGTTCATTCCTTGAGGTTTGAACTCCATGAACGGACTGGCTGCATAAACATTTTCATGGTTTTCCCTATGTATAATATGTGTACAAGGCAGTTATAGTTCCCTTCGAAAATCCTCCACAAAGACATCCATCCCCTTAAGCAGATAGCCCTCGAGGCTTTGCCATAGCCAAACCATAGCATTAATTAATATTACTCACAAGTTACTATTAAAGTAAAAATACTGTCACTAAACCATTCATTTAACCATTCCCTTTAGAAAGAATGTACTACACACAGTTTTCCCCCTTCATATCAATGACAGTAGTTAGTAGAAAAGGGAAGACAATTGACAGTGAACTATATAAATGCGAATTTTTCCACAGTTAATATTCTGATGATAATATTTTTTTTATTTTTATTTTTATAAATAATCTTTTAATTTGATAATGTTTAAAATTTGCTATCAATGTTAAAAGTATTTTCTCTCTTCCTATTTATAGGTAGTCATGAACTAATAGCTACAGGTTCAGTCCTTGATGCCAATCCTAAGCGTATTATTATAAAACGAATAGTTCTCAGTGGGCATCCTTTTAAAATTTTTAAAAGAAGTGCTGTTGTAAGATATATGTTTTTCAATAAAGGCAAGTATATAATTTATATTTTAAGCATAATTATAAGTTTTTATACTAAGTACATTTAATTTACTTTTAAACTTAATGCCATTATAATTGATTTCAGAGGACATTAACTGGTTCAAAAAAATCAAGTTGAGAACTAAATGTGGAAATATTGGTAACATAATACAATCATTAGGTGAGTTCATTTAAAACATTTAGTATTAAAAAACAATTTAATACAGATCAAATATAATGAATATTGAATTATTTTCAGGTTCCCATGGGCACATGAAATGTGTTTTTGAAAAACAGTTACAATCTCAAGATGTTGTTTTAATGTATCTTTACAAAAGAATATTTCCAAAATGGACTTATGACCCTTATATTCCAACTCCAACTACTATCAGTGTTGCAAATGATGTAGAAATGTTGTAAATAAATTATGCTTAATATGCTTCGTCTATATCTTTTAAATTACATAACCTATTTACCTTAAATATTTATAACCTTGCTTCCTGAAAGTATTCAATATGTATGCTGTAAATGCTATTTCAAGTCTTATTTAAGTGTTAAAATTATTTTTAAGTGTTCTAAATTGTGAAAATACAGATATAGAAGTAACTAGGCAAATACAATTTCGGACTACACTAATTTGGTTCTTAAAATGTGCCCTGTTCGCATTTCGAGCCTGAGCTTGAATCCCAAAGAAGGTGTAGATATTTATGCGAGAAGATATCCAAAAGTAATTAGGATTATTTTTAAGTAATTATATTATGCTTTACATTTACATATTTTAGACCCTTCAAAGTGTTTGGGACATAAGGTGTTGGAAATACTGTTCTTTTCCCAAAATCATCAGATTGACAGTTAAACCTTTAAAAATAATAATAATAATTTAAGTAAAACAGACAGGAATATCTTGAACTCATTCAATATGCAATAAATACCCTTTCGTTTACAGACACATAATTTATGAAATTTGACAATCTTAATTTAGACACTACATTTTTACATAAATCGCTTAATTAATAAGTTTAATAATATTAGGGATAAATCTTTGTACAATATATTTCATAATGGAACAACTAAATAACAGGTCCTCTAAATTAGCATTTCATATGCCACAAAGATAAACACAGTTTTTAATCGAGAACCTTTCGTAGTAAGATGGAAAATGTCCATGATGAGTCAGTCAACACTTGATTAAGATACTCATACATCTTTTTTTACTTACTGATGAAATTAAATTGTAAGTGAACCTTCCTTTGGAATCAGGATCATTCCACCTTTAAATTTGTCATCTGAAAAGGTGCAAAAAGCTGCCATTTAATTTAGAATCATCTGTTATAAACTGACATATTCGGGAAGCTGAAATTCGATTTTTGAGCTAGATATATCTAGCTCAAAATCTGTAGCACATGGAAGCAATCAACAGCACCACTGCCTGCATTTAATTGGTAAATAACATTCTTTTTCAGCCAAAATACATATCATTTGGAATACATCCAGTCAAAATCTAGTCAGATATTGTTTAAGTAAAAAATAAAAGGTGTGATTAAAAAAAGTAGCGATATTGCTCACAATGCACAAGAATTTACAAACTTGTAATTTTGTATGCAGGAAGTTACATGAAATGCAAAAGGCTAAACTGAATAATGAATTTGTTAAGGAATCTGAAAAGTTAATTAAATCTTAAAGTTAAAGATTAGAATATTAGACAGATGAAACATAACCAATTTTAAAAAGAACAAATTATTTGAAGCATCCAAAAATTGGAGCTGAGTGATTAATTAAAAGTAATTTATATGCATAAAAAACAAGCAAAAATAGCCAATCAAGACTAGTGGCTAGTTAAATATTTTTTACAATCAGTTTCACATCTAGTTTAAGATATTTTTTAGAAAAAACTATTATTTAGTGATTTTCATTGTAAATTAAGAGACTAAATATTCAGTGACCAGACAAAGCCCACTGGCTGGAAATGCACATAACAAAAGCCCACAAAAAAGAAATCCCCACTGTTATTATTGCCCATGCAACAAATACCATACTGATGAAAGTGCACGCTGATAGCCAAAGCAGCCAATATTGATAGGAGCTAACACTGACAAAAACCCAGATCGATGTACATGCTACATTGAAATTAATATCTTTCCCCGGCCTTTTCCAGTTATACACAGCAGATTCATGAAAAAGATGAAATAAAAAATAAATTCATAACAAATAATTGAACAATGTAATGGAACAAATTTTATTTTGGGCTCCGGCTGCTGTGATATGTGAATTTTAAATGTGACAAATTACCCTATATATATAGAGAGAGAGAGAGAAAAGAGAGTCAATCAAAATAAAATTAATTAAAACGTATATCTATGTGTAACTTAATTTAGTAACTATGTGTGTATAATGAATTTAATATGGAGAATTCAAGCTTAACATTTATTTCAACGAAAGAGATAAAAGTATCCTATTTTATTATGATTAGGAAAATATTTCTGTGTTATCAGAAATAATAAATATACAATAGTGAATTAAAAGCAAGGTTTCAAATAAATTAATTGAACAATTTTACATAAATTATAACTTCATTCCCACTTGAAATCTAATATAATTATTATTTTTATATAATAATTGTAAAATTTTTCAAGAAGTCGTAACTGTTTTAGATTTCCTGAAAATATGCGCTCTTTTTAAGTGGACACTCATCTTGTGGGCTTTTGTTGTGCAGTTTTCTGTCTACTGGCTATACAGGGGGGAAATTATTTATGTTTGTTTTCTTTTGTCCCCCAGCTGAGAGAAAGAGCAGTTAAAGAAAAGAGAGCGGAAAGCCTTGCATAATTGCTTTAGCCCCTTTCGAGTCTAGAATGGCCACAGAGGGAAGGAGGGGAGACAGGACAGCGGCTAGAGTTGGTAAGAAATGAAAGAGGATTTTACCTTTGATATTAACTACAAAATAATTATTTTTGTCTATAGATCTAACTAGAATTTCAAATATTTTTAAAATTTTCAGCAACTGGAAATTGAAAGGAAAGAAATATTACTAATGATGATTTGAAAATATTTCTTAACCATTTTAAATTCACTACTTTAGAGTAGAATTGCAGAGTGGAAAAATATGCTAGTTCTTGATTGGATAGTGTCTAACAAATTTTTGATGAACTAATTAAACATGTATGTATGTTATATTGAAGCAAAACCATGGTTTAAAAATAAAAAATGAACTATTCTAATAAATTAAATTATTACAATTACTAAAATTTATGTAAAAGTAATACTTTTCATTTTAATGTTCATATGCTTAAAAATGGATTTAACCATTCTAATAATTTGAACAATAAAAGATTCTGAACTCAAGAACAAGAGGATTTATGATTAAAAATTTACTGTTATATTTATGTGGATGTAGAAGCTTTACATGTAAATTTAATTCACCTATTGAAATATCTTTTGAGTACATTTAGCAGAACTCCGGTTAAAAGAATGGTTGGTTAATGGCAAAAGACTCGTTTATCATTTTACAACATAGAAATATTCTCAAAACTCATTTAGTTTGACTAATGTATTTCAAAATGGAGTGCTATAAATTACTGAAGTACAAAAAGAGTAATATGTATGATTACTGATGTTTATATTGATAGTACTGAATGAAAAATACTTCTCTACTCCCCAAATTAAATTTTTTTGAAATATTTAGTCACTTAATTTAAGGATCATTATTTTCTAAACTAGTGTGCTAATATACTTCACATTGTGTTTTTTGTAAACTTGTTAAATTTTAAGAGAATTAATGAGAAGAATCAAGTAAAAAATGGTTAGGAATATCATGGAGGTGAAAAAGAGACTTTTGAAAAGTGTGAAGATGGTATGTGTATCTGGGAATTGGCTAATACAAACCGTACGCTGAGAACGACAATATCTGCAATTGCCCAAACCAAATCTGCAGCACCCTTTTCATCATTGCCGGACAATCATCCCTCTCCTCCTTTCCAAAATTCAAAAAAAAAAAAAAAAAAAATACATATACATGTGGGGAAAGGCAACGACCATAGTTGATAGCACACATTTATTACTATTTTTTTCATTATGTTAACATAATGAATTTTTTGAAATTCATTATTTTTTATGTTAGTATATTAAAACATATTAATAGTTCTTAATTTATACCCAAATTTTCTTCTGAAAAAAAAAAAAGTTTTATATATCCTTTTTTACTTAGAAAATATTTAATCGCATTATATCAAATTTACCTGGTGATTCAGAACTGCTTTAGAATTTTAATTTTATGCACAAACTTTCCCTCTGGAGTTCAATTTCATTTTCCTTAAACTTATTTTTTTTTTTTTTTTTTTTTTTTTTTTTTTTTTTTTTTTTGAGAAGGGGGTGATTGCTAAATCAGTAGAAACATACAAATGTCTTCAAGTTTGCTATCATGCCTAAAGGTATTATGGGCTGAGCCCTTCCAAAAAAAAAAAAAAAAGATTGGCAGTGCATAATTTAAACCATTCAAAAATTTTGACAAGATTGTTGTAAAAGAAATTATATGGTATATCATTCGTTTGTAATTCCTGCAATGTTTTAAAATAATACTGATGAGTTAAGAATTATTGTATTAGATTGAAAAAGTATTTAATTAATATAGTTATTCATTATAACATATAATTACACTGTGTAGCAACTTCTGAAATTAATTATTCAATTTTTGAAGGGCAATTACACTTCTAAAATGAATTATTTTTTAAAGGGCAATTATACTTCTAAAATGAAGGGGGCAACAGAATAGTTGCAAGAATAAACAGATAACTAGCAGGTGAATAGGAGATCTGTTAAAATTAATTCAATCAAATAAGCTGAAAAGTCATGATTGCATGCATATCTTTTATTTACACTGTTGGAGACAATGCTATGACAGGCCATGAGCACCAGTATGCCTGTTACTATCCACACTATAACCCTAAATTTTCACATTATTTTTTTCCCCATAATTTAAACTTGTTAACATTGAGTTTTAAGAAAGTTAATGAAAAGAGACAAGCTAAAAATGGTTTTCACATTGTGTTTTTTGTAAACTTGTTAAATTTTAAGAGAATTAATGAGAAGAATCAAGTAAAAAATGGTTAGGAATATCATGGAGGTGAAAAAGAGACTTTTGAAAAGTGTGAAGATGGTATGTGTATCTGGGAATTGGCTAATACAAACCGTACGCTGAGAACGACAATATCTGCAATTGCCCAAACCAAATCTGCAGCACCCTTTTCATCATTGCCAGACAATCATCCCTCTCCTCCTTTCCAAAATTCAAAAAAAAAAAAAAAAAAAAAAAAAAAAAAAAAATATACATGTGGGGAAAGGCAATGACCATAGTTGATAGCAAATACATTTATTACTATTTACAAATATAGATTACATTAGGATTACAATTAATGAAAATGGTATACGAGCAATCGAGCGACATCTGCTCCGCTCGCCAGCTAATCCTCGTCTTCTCCCGAAGGCGGGAAACACATGCTGACGCAATGCATACGTCACACAGTAGGGGATTAGGGAATATCATGATATAACATTTCCCACATACATTTATTTAAATTTAGATTAAAATTTTGTACAAATTAAATAAGAAAATGTTGATAAATACCAAACTTTATACAAACAATACAATGTTTTTTATATTCATAAACTAAAACAACACTGACTCCATTTCTCCCAAGAACAGATTAGTTTTCTATTTTTGAATAATTATGTGCCCAGGGCCTACACAACAGCAAATGAGTGACATGCCTCTTGGTCCTTTTATGTAAAATTTCATATTTCAGTTTATGATTTTTTTAAAATATTGTAAATTGGACTAGTCTTGCACTTCCACTAGTGACTGACACTATTTAACAAAGATACACAGCCATTTTCTGCTGTGTAATTTGTCACATTTAAAATTCATATGAATATGAGAAATACCTTTAAATGAAAAAACAGTAAATTAGGTTATTTCATGAAGCACTTTATATAATTTGCGTCACTGATATCAATCTTGAAAGAAATCACACGAGAAAAAGGCCTCCCTAATACATTTTGCTTCGGCCATCAAATTTCGTAAATTTGTACACCTTATACATTGCATGGATGCAGCTTCAAAGTTTAATGAACTAAATTATATAATTTCAGAAACAATTATATTCCTACAAAAATATCCAAAAGCACAAATATTTATATTGTAAAATGATACAAATATTTACAAAGGAGTATGTTTTAATTACCTTTAACAAGAGGCACATGACTTAAAATGGTTCTTTTTTTTCTTTCAACTACTAGAAAAGAAAAGAAATATAAATTAGAATTAAATTTATAAATCAAGAATTGTAAATATAATTTTAAAATCTTTTTATGTGAAGTACATGGTTATTCATTCATTGTAACCATTTTATAATTGAAGAAAATTACAAAAGTTTTGCTATGATTATATTTTAAGAACTTCATAATTTTTTAACCTTGAAACCTGTATAAATTTATTCTTTGATTTCGACGACAAGTGAAGTTATTGTCTAGAATATTTTGCAGACTGAATTAGTCATGCACTTTTAATTTTTTGGTAGTATTTCCAAAATCGCTGCTTGGTCAGCACCCTGAAATTAAGAGCTTTTGATGGCAGATCACTAAAATATCCTGACACTGGTCATGAAGATATGGCTTTTGTGAAATGGAGGCATCACTGAACAAGTTATCACTTCTGTAATGTTACAGCATGTTGTCTCACACCTTGTCATAGCTCAAAGATTGTGATTTGTATTTGAACTTGTCACTTTGAATACTTAAAAGAAATTTTGGTACTTATGTATTAGCCTAATGATCATAAAACTGTCACCATACAACATGATTTAGCACCACTTATGAATAAGTGTGACATAACAACACACTCATAACATCTGTGGTTTCAATGGACGTAACCTGGATTGATTCTTGGTAAGTCACATTTAGCTTTTATGAACAAGAAAAGATATAAATTAATTGTTACTCCAGTGGTTTTTCATGCATTTTGGAGGAGGGGGAAACTGTTTAAGTTTGGGACCTAATTTCTGTAGAATAAGCAGTGGATTATTTTCAAAGGTATGGGATTCCACCATAAAAAAAAAGCGAGCATTAATGGACAAAATATGATTAACTGAACACTGGCAACAAAACTGCAATAGATTGGAATGGTTATTAGCAGGAAATTTGTACTCATCGCATTCTAAGCAAAGCTTTCAGTAAAATCAGAAGGCCTAAAACATAGTAGAAAATGACAAAAGCTCTTTTGCAAAGGGCAAAAATGAAGGAGGTCAAATACTGATAGTTTATTAAATGTACCAGTTTTTTCAGAAGTCCACAGGAAGTATTTACACAGCTTTGGCAACTTTCATGGTTCTTTGGCAGCTAACTTTCAAGGTCAACAAGTTAATATATAAGTACCCAAATTTTTATGTAATATTTTCCTACACAGAATATGTCAAATTATTACAATACAAAGTCCATAATAGAGACTTGTCGGGACTTCGGCAATTCCGGATTATAGATCATCAATTTAAATCTGGTAAGATGGCATGCAGAAATTATACAGTTACAAATATGAAACCGTTATTTCTGAAATAAAGAGCAACTATGATCTAAAGGGTATCAAATTTAAAAAAAAAAAAAAAAAAAAAAAAAAAAAACCACTTAATATTTATTTGTTTACGTTATTAAACATTTCTTTTAATGCGCGCATGCGTAATGCATAAAGTTTGTGGCTTTGAGGTCCGGATTATAGACCATTCCGGATAATGGACTTTGTACTGTATTAAACTATGCCAGGGTTACTCAAACTGTACAACATGTTCACTAATGGTACATTACGTTATTTTTGGTTCTACAATTTTTAAACAAAGATTTAAAGAAATACAGCACAGCTTCCCTTTTGGTACACTTATTTTTTATGCTTATTTATGTGGTACAAAATGTAAAGCCAATCCTATCAAAATTTTCTTAATGATTGTCATAACATAGTTACTTGAAATAACTTTCCCGATGTTTAAGCTAAAGAATTTCATTACAAAACATGCATTAGAATATTTTGAGATGAGGAAAAGTTATCACAGAAATAATATAAGACAATATATTTGTAAGAAAATTTGCATGCTTAAATCTTTGTTAAATACAGTCAGGAATTAAAACAAATCAAAAAACTTCTGCTAACACCTCACAGAAGAATTTTAAATTAGAAATTTCAGAAACTCAATTCAATTCAGGCTCCAGGCAAGAGCTATTTTTATAAAAGCTGTGTACCTGGCTAAATAATTGCATAATTTTTTTTTTTTTTTTTTTTTTTTTTTTCCCCTCCTGAAAAAGAAAGACTTGCTTCTGTTTGCCATCAAAATCAATCAAGTTTTATTCAAAATATATGCCAAACTAAGGCTCCTGCTTTCTGCCCCCCTTTAACTTTACATCTTTACATGGGTAATACGGTCTAAGAACTATACTAGATATTGTTTTATAACATAGAAAATTAATCTTACCTTACACCAGATGGTAACCTGCGAAATGAATTAAAATGTTCCATGTATTGTTGTACAGTGTCTATAGCTGTATATATTTCATTCATTCTTCCTTGCAGGTATTGTGAAGGGCACTGCACACTGTTTCCCATGAAACCTTGCAGTAATTCTCGCATCAAATCCCAACAAAAAAAAGGAATTACACAAGGTGTATATTCAACCTAAGGACACATAAATGAAATGTAGATTACAATTTCTAGAGAAGCACCAGGACAAGTAATGAATCTCTCATGATAAATAATTTTATAAATGAAACTATTAATAAATCCATTTCAAAATTTATTTTAATATGAGGCTAAAATGTTTAATTCAAAATTTAATAACATAAGCTGATTGCAAAATAATAATACATGCACATTATTGGCATGAAACTAAGATGTGAAATTAATTTTTTTAACTAAGCTTCATCATTTGTTGCAAAGGAAAAAGTGATAACTGGCCAACTGTCTGTGGATATAGGAACTGTCCATTAATAGGAAGTACCCATTAACTCAAGGTATTCCTTAACAGAGACTGTACCATTTTCTTTAAAGTCATTATTTTATATTATTGGCAGCTCTGAAAACTAGAATCTACATTATAAGAATAATGACATTAAATTTACTTAATTTGCATATACTTACCATCTTATAAGCAACAGAAATTATTACAGCAATTTGTTTTTTCAGTATTATTTCAACCAGGTGAGCATGTCAATTACGTTCGCAAATCTAACATCTATATTTAAAACACATCAAGTTTTTAGCAAATATGTGGATATCTCGTTTCTCCATGCAAGCCAAATCAATTAAAAGTAAAATGAATTAATTTTTATTTCAGAAACAAGATACTCAGCATGTTTATTTCATATGCAAAAAGCAATTGTTAATGAATACATGTCTTATTTATTACAGCACTGCACTATAAATATCTTCTTAAACAATACTAGTATTTGTTCAAATAAATTAATAACTGAATTACCAACAATTAATATACACTTGTTTCCATCAAGATCCAAAAAGATGTACTGTATGGAAGAGAAACATGCTAATGCAAAATGTAAATTTAATCACCACCTCCAAAACGAAGACTTACACAGGTATAGATTTTTAATAAAATTCTACCAATTTAAAGAAAGATTCTATACACAACCTCTTTTTCCAGAATAAAAATTTAAAAAATTACAATCTGAAAGCTTTCATATTTTATATTATACCCAAAGGGGAATTTTTTCACTGGGGATTCAAAATGAGATTTTGAAAAGTGATACAAACATTCAGTATCAATCAATGCAAAATACCATTAGACGTAATGCCTTTACATTGCTATGCTACAAACATAATACCAATATCCATGCTTGAAAATGCACTCGATGTTAATGTTAATTTGAAATCTTTGAGACTGGTAATCAAAAATTCGTTAAAGTTTAATAAAATGTGAAATAGATAATAAAACAAATTCCAAATGCCTATATTTGAGTAGAGGACTATGTTATTCAATATTTGATATCTCTAGATATCGTTGTTTTTTCACAATGTGAGAAACATACATACATTCATGCAGATTCTTCATTATTTAATTTGCTTAAATATAATGCAGGACTCTAATATCCAGTAGCAACAATTTGAAAAGTGATTCAGACTTTTATAGGGGCAAAATGCCAAAACGAAATTAATAGCCCTTTGGGCTAATAACTTAAAAAAAAACTCTTCAAACAAAGAACGATCAAACATCTCATTATATAAAATTTACACTAATTTAAGGTCCCCTTTCCTAAATTTACAAAAGGCTCTACTCATATGTGCCCTAATATCACCAAATGTGGCGATAATGTGTTCTGTGGTTTTTGGCACGATTGCATGTTGTATGGCAACCCTGTTGACGTTGAAAGATCTTTTGCTGGAGTAGTTAATTGCTCGTTGGTTCGTGTCGCGCGTGTTTTGATATGGCCTATGTTGCAATGAGAGACGTGGTGGCAAGATTTCAATCGCGTATTTTAGATTGTGTACAAAAGAAATTTAGTATTAAAAGGTACGATGTTGGAGTTGTTAACGAGTCTGCTCTGTGTCTGAGAAGATAGGCGGGAAAGATAAAGTGGTAGAAGTTGATGAATCCAAAGTTCGGAAAAGGAAATATCGTGGCCATCCTGTTGAGGGGCAGTGGGTATTTGAAGGTGTGAAAAAGAGGGTCTGGGAGATTATTTTTAGTGGTTGTACATGATAGAAGTAGGGAAACACTGATGCAGTGCATTAAAGAGTGGATTGAGCCTGGTACAACTATTTTTTTGGATGGATGGAAATGCTACAAGGATTTAGGAAAAGAAGGTTTTGAACATTTATTTGTGAACCATAGTATGAATTTTCTAGACAGTGTGTCTGGCTGTCATATAAATAAGATAGTGATTACGTGGTGGCATGTTAAAGGCGGTATTAAATTGGTATTTCTGCTGTTCAAAAAAAGTATTTTATATTTTTCTTGTTCTTATTTTGTAGAATGTTATGTTCATTGTTTTTTAGTATGAATTTCTGTCGTTATTATTATTTTTTTTTTTTTGAATTGTTTGAAATTTATTTTAGTTGTTTTAGTTTATTTTGTTGATTAATGTGTAGTGCTTACATTGTGCAATTCATTGATGTTTTTTAAAGTTGAAACAGAATGCTGTGTACATGGTATTCTTTGAAATTTATTGTTGTTATGTTAATTTATTAAAGCAAGGTGTGTGTAGTTCGTAGATTCGTTCGTTGCCTAGATCGTGCAATTCGTAGATGTTTTTTTAAGTTTAAACATATCGCTGTGTACATGGATTCTTGTCAAATATTTTTGGTTAGAAACTTTATGTTTTTGTTATCTAAATATTTTGTTTTTGTTTCGGATTTTTAGCTTAAATTGTATGTGCAAAAACTATGTTTTTGGAGACATTTTAGGCTTAAAGTTCGAAATGTAAACAAAAAATTTAGGTAGAATATGGCAGCATGGAGTTTCTCGCCAAAAATATTTGGCAAGAAATTTGGTGACCTGATAGTGCTTATAAGAGTAGTTCTTTAAAAAAGATCCATCATTTTAACACACTGATAGTTCTCAAGTTTATGAACATATGTTTGTATGAAATACATATCAATGTATGATACAAAAAGTATCAATGGGTATAAATATTTTCATGATTACAAAGAAGGAAAAAATTAAACTAAAAACCGATATTCAAACACACTTTAAATAAATAAATTCTAGCTAAGTTTCTCTAACAAAGTACACTGAACAAAAATTGGTTTTCATTGAATAATATTGATTCTAAATGTCATAGTATTTTAATGGTGAAGGATTTAATAGAATGCTGGTTATCTGAATATTTCAGATCAAAATACGAATGCATAATTTAGAAAGGATGATATAAACAATTAGGAAAACGTTATTTGAAATGGATGTTATGAAGATGATTGAAAGAAATCTAAACCATGATGAAATTAGAATTAAAAAGTAGCTAAATGTCAATCTAAATGATCATGGTTATCATATTTCAAATTAGATCATGCTGCCACTTCAAGATAAACACATAATTCAGAACAGAGTGAAAATAATTGTAATATGAAATAATTAATGCTAATTAAGTGTGTTAAATGTTTAGAAATGGTTATAAAATGGCTGAAATGTACAGAAGACTCAGGCTAATAATACAGCTCAAAAAGAATCCACAACAAGGACACATATTAAAAAAAAAAAAAAAAGAGAGAGAAGGGGGAGATTCTGTATTGCTTATCAATAATTTTAAAATACAATTAACTAAACCCTGAACTTTATTTAATAAACTTTGGATTTTAAATAGTGGAAGAAAATATTCTCACTGACCCAAATGGAACTTATAATGTGCATGCCAGTATGAAATACATTTTACACTGAAATAACTCACATTTTGGTGGGTTTTATTACACATATTTTTCAAATCAGTAATCTTTTAAATGTTATATAAAACAATTATAAAAAGTTGATGTACTTACTTCAACTAATATTCCTCTAAAACTTGGTCCAATAGATACACTTCCTAATTTAATGACGAAATCTCGAACTTCGTAACGAGGTCCTTTAGATTCAATTTTTGTAGCTTTCTTCGGGATATATATGCCAGCCATTTTCATCATGAACATATCAAATTGAGAATCAGCAGTTAGACATGTTCCAGTATCCAGCAATGCAAAGCAAGTAACTGGATGTTCACTGTTATGAATTATATTAACCGCCCTATTAGGATCTAATTCAAAGAAATAAAAAACAAATAAATTCAGTTTGTATAGATTTCTCTCTATTAATTGGCTGACATTGCTTAAATTTAATAATAAACAACACACACTGCATCATTAAATAATGTTTTTGCAACATTTTAAAATAAATGCCTATGTAAATACTGGATCAGTGAATATATCCTTGCTGTTCTTCATTTGGTTCTCATGTTTACCATTCTATGATTTTATCAGTACAAAATAAACTACAAAACAATACAATGCATGATATAAAGGCATTGATACACTATAATATAAATCAATTATCACTCATTCACTCAGCAATGTAATCACCATCTTCGTCAATGACCACCTGCTAGCAATTAGGTAGGAGTTCAATGCCTCCTGTACAACTGTTGCAGAAATCGTAAGAGTAATCAGAAAGGGGGATAAATATATCAGAAGTATTAATTTTTCTCTACTTGGACGCTCCATACTGGCCTTTAAAATGGCCAAAACTAGCTGTTATCAACATACAAATTTCTGTTTGCAAAAATCAAACTCCTGAAGAAATACAATTGAATAATAAAAAATGAAGGCTTCACAATGCAATACTGCCAACCCAATGAATAATGACAAGGACTTATGCACCAACAGCTACAAATAATAAATGTACAAGTAACAGTTTATCAAATCTATAATTTTAAAAATGATAAAAGATCTATTACATGAATGCACAAATAACAATTTCTATTTTACAATAGTATACCCACATCTGCAAGTAATACATCCCAAGACTTAATAAGGATAATAGCAAATGCTACATAAAACAGGATATCTATATAACATACATAATTATGATCTAATTTGTAAATTATATATGAAAGATATTACCAAAATTAAATTAAATAATAAGGTACTTTTCCATTTCGCCGCAGCAAATCTCGCCAAGCAGACTGCATTGGCAATAACATACAGTATACACATAAAAAATTTTAACAAATGTTAGTTCTAAGATTTTTTTTTTTTTTATTTTGAAGGCATAAACATTTTAATATCGTTTAAAGTTTTGTAAAATGGCATTAATTCAAGAATTTACTATGCTTTCATGGTTCAACATCCTGATTCGCCGGTTCTTATCACGTGAACCCAAATGACCTCAGGTAAACTACACTACAAAAATCTAATTCTCTCAGTAATTATCTACATTAATTTCAAGTTAAATCTTAATTTGGGATACAAATTTAAATACAAGAATTATTTCAATTCGTATGAACAGCTTACTCAGAAGTTATGTAAAACCGCAGTGCTTTACTTCGCTAGGGCATTCTCATTACAATTGATGAATTTAGCCCTTGACTTTGCCTTTTCTACATTTTCGCCTTTGGGTGAGTGGTGTGATTACATCCTAATTGACTTGATTACTGCGAATGGCCTTAGAGCATAAAATTGAATTATCTGATAAAAATTATACGTAATTGTATGCCAATATTGAAAGATACAATCAATCTGATTAGAAATGGCTGCGACTTCTTTTGAAAATGATGCGTAAAAGGTTACCAGCGAGGATATTCCATTTGTCATCGGTTGTACCATTATTGGCAACTTTGTCGCCTGCGCCAGCAAAACGGAAAAGTACCAATAATTATAATAATTTTTTTTTACTGACAATAATGCATGATCCTGTTGCTGAATAAAGCAATGTAGAATAGTTAATTGTACACTAGGAATATTAGAACATACTCTCTCTCATACCTGTATGACAGTGAAAGATTCTAACATCTTAACTTAATTCACAAAAAGACGAGTAAAAAATAAAGAAATAAAATGTATTATGCTTTATTATATTTAAGTGGATGTTAGAAATAAGAATTATTAACTTTTCTAATATAGAAAATCCTTCTATGACGAGCACCTAGTTCAAATAAAATATCAAATAACAACACTTTTGAAGAAACAAATTTAAATCTGAAATTTAGAACTAAAAATACATAATGGGCAAATAAATTGAAGACCTGAATTAGTTATAAAATGTTGATCCCTTTTCATGCATCAATATAATAACTTCAAAGGTAATGTCAATGGCTTTCAAAAACAATTCACATTGAAAGATGCCATATTTACTTTGGCTCTTGATTGGAATATTATGTTGTAGCCTACGACCATGTTCGTAAATGACTAGTCGAATGACAAAGATTGGTGTGGTTTTAAAACAAGTCCGATATTCATGTCCAGCATCTTGGATTTAGTTACATGTTTGAAGAAGATTAATGTCCGAGAAGAGAACATGTAGGCTTGGATTGATGTAAACAATTCTGTTACCATCACACTATCTGACAATGATGACAAAATAGTCAGACATTTACTTGTATTTTCATCTTTCTCCTTTCCCATTACAAATACACGACTCAAAATTACTATATTTTAGCAACAGTCTTTTTAATTCTTTGTAATTCGGCTATGTTCTCTTCCTGAATCTAAACTGTGTTACTTGAAAAGATTTGACGGTTAGCTCTTGTCAAATTGTTTGTAAAAGATTAAATTCCTTTAATAATGTGATAAAAATTCAATAAAAATATTTTATAAATAATAAAAAATGAATTTAAAAATTGCATAAATAGTTTTCCCAGACTTCCTCTCACTCTGCGAGCACAAGCAATTGCTTACTTCTCTATTTCATCATTGTCTCAAAATGTGATAAATTGTACATAGAACTGTGGGGTGTTTATCACTTCCATAGTGATGATACCTTAAGAAATAAAATTATGTGGTGGATCTACTGTTACTTTTGTTCTCTAAATTCCTATGAATTCCATGTTGGATACAGATGGAATGCATTCCATCTGTATGCCACCAACATCTATAACCATCTCAGCCATGACTTAAAGATACCACTATCTCAAAATTATCACACATACACAGTACCCGCCGCTTACCTAACTCACTGGTTTATAAACTCAGCCGCTTATTACGTTCAAATTTCTATGAATCAAAATAAATATATGCTAATCAATGGAAAAACCACTGTTTGAACACATTTCCACAGCTTATTAAGCTCAGATTGGCAAAAGATTTATTCTTCAGTGCCAGACTACCTTACTTGTACCTATCAAAGCCTTTCATAAATCATTCATTTAACATATTGTGGACTGTGGCTCTATCATTCAAGCAGGTAATATTTCAATAAAACCAGTTTGATTGAAAATTTCCTATCCCCCTATTTCTGTACCTATGACATACTGCTTTCAGAGTTCTTTACCCCTACTGGACTTCAGAGGGGCAGAATTTCCTTATCTTAAGGTTAACAAAAACAGTTCTCTACAAACACTGTAAATGAATAAGGTATCTTCTTGAATACCAGCTGGCAAGAGGTGAAATTGCAACGTTGGTATTCCACCTTTTAAGGTTTCCAGATTCATCACTTCGGGATGCATATGAGTTGCAAAAAAGCTCATGAAATTCTTCAAAGTATTACAGCACATTAATAGTTTTTAAATGAAAAGAAAATGGCAAATGTAGACTGAAGATAACTCAAGGAAAGCATTGGCTATGCCTGTAATCATGAACAGGCATATGGACTAAACAGATAAAGGATAATCTTTCAGTTGGCTAAAAATGTAAATTGGAATTTTAATAAATCATTAGAAGAAGCATTTTTAATTTGTATTACCCTCAACTTGTAACATGCCGAAATGCCAAGCAAAGAGATTTAAACCTGAAAGAAAAGCTAAATTGTTAAAGATTTTAATGTTCTTGGTGATAGCAGCCAGAGAAAAACTACATTATAAGCAACATAGTGCAATTTACATAAACAAAAATTTATAATTAATGAAGAACGAAAAAAATGCACGTCTCAAGGAAGTGAAAAAAAAAAAAAAAAAAAAACCAGAAAACTGAGAGGTGTTGATACTGTTTTTCCAGAATGGTTTCAAGCTATAAAGCTACAAAATGTTTCTATTTCTAGAGCTTATTCTCATTTATTCACTAAATGCTAGGACAGAATTTTATACCAACTGACATATGGCTCACAAGGAGAAAGTGGATTATCATGCAACTGACACCTGGATACAAGATGTTATTTAGGCTGCTAAATGAATACAAGCCACATGAAATTTATAATACAGATGAAAGTGGAGTGCAGCACATTACAGGAATATACACTAATAGTTAAAAGTAAAACAATAGTTTATTTAACAAATTGAAGAAATAAGTTCCTGTTTTATTAATGTACAATATGGACTCAACAATTACAAAAACAATATTTGTTATTGACAAAATCAATAAACTCCGATGTTTGAAAGGAGTCAAGACTTTACTTCTAACTTACCATACCAACAAGAACTCATGGATGACAAAAAGTAGTTTTACTTATGTTCTATTTAAAACTGACAGTGAATTGAAAAATGAAAAAACAGGTTTAATAATTAGATAACTATGGAGTATATATATCTCAGATTTCTTTTTGAAAAGTAGTACCTGTTCCTGCAAATACAACTTCTAACTTGTAAACTTTAATTTAGCGTATTATAAAAGCTTTCAAATGTCATTACAGAAAGATGTTTCGTAAATGATAAACATAATTAAATTTTGTGAAAATGCAAGTATTTCAAAGGAAATAAATTGATATTTATTTCCTTTGAAACCATGCATATAAAGGGTGCAGAAACCATGCATATAAAGGGTGTTAATCTCTTCAAATCATTTGAAATTGTTTTCAAAAACATGACTTTTAGGTACTTATGTATTAACACAACCACTTTGTTGCAGTTTCATGGTCTTTTACATAACCAAAGGTGATTTATCGAATTTTTGAATTGCAACTTACAATGGATATGGTTATCAAAAGAACTGTTGCATGCACGGTCACTAGAGTTTCGCAACTTCTACTAAGGTAGTTGCGATAAACATGCCAGTACCAACTTTTATATTCAGAGTATAATTTGATATTCAGAGACTTTTATATCAAAATCTTCAGAGGAATTGCAAACTATAATTAATATTTCAGGTTACGAAGATAGAAGTTAGATCAGTGAGAGAAGTTAAGATTCATTTTCAGAATATGTTGTGTCATTTATCGAAATACTGTGTACAAAAACTGACCATGAAAGTGTTAAAAGAACTGTAGAAACTGACTGCAAAAGTGATACGATAAAATGTTATGGCATGCATTGTAATGTGTTAAAATGTGAGATCATGCATCGATCAGATATAGAAAAGCACTGCAAATTCTGAGAAAAATTCTTGAACTGAAACATGCTGATCAGAAAAGCTGTTGGCAGTCTTACGAAATTGAGAATACAAATACAGATAGAACAGATCGTTTGTAAAAGATTAAATTCCTTTAATAATGTGATAAAAATTCAATAAAAATATTTTATAAATAATAAAAAATGAATTTAAAAATTGCATAAATAATTTTAGTATTAATTTTTAATCATTATTTTGGATTATTTAATGAATTAGTTGTTATTCATTATTTTACTTGAAAAGGTGTAAAACTAAATCATGGTTCATCATATACAAATCGCTCTCTTACACTCAGCAGCTTAATAAACTCGAATACTTTTGGATCGGAAATGATTTTACTAAGCAGTGAGTACTTTCTATATATACATATATATATTGATAAGCAAAGCATGTATAAAATTTCATTCAATTACAACTCTTCTTTTTCTAGAAGCAGGATATGAATGTGAATATGATTTTTTAAAAGGGTAGACAAGGTTTCTGACAAAACTCTGGTTACTAAATATTCAATAAACAATACAAAATGTAAGTATTTTAAAACCTCAAATTACATTTAGAAAGATGAAATAGAAAAAAATTATACTAGCATACATACTTATATGAGGTGCAGCATAATAAGTCTCGCATTCAACACAAAATGTACCAGTTTTAACAGCTCCAATTGTTTCTAATCTTTTTTGTAACAATTCAGCAGCCTGCTGTCCACTTTTTCCTTCTGGGATAGGAAACTGATGAATACTAAAAAATTAAAATATATTACTAAATATACATTACACAAATGAAAAATAAGACACATATAGAAGTATTAAAATTGGGACAAAATATGCCTTCAATAGCTATGGCTGATGTGTGCAGACAAACATAACTTTGATGTTTATATAATTTTTCTATCTTCCAGACTAAAACGTTTAGACTTTTAGAAGTACAATATGTCTATGAAAGAATGCCCCAATTATAAATTTTAATAGTGGCGTATTCAAACCCTCGAAGAAATCGACCCTGGCAGGGGAAAAAAAAATGTCGGCCCTGAGGCCCTATATGAAATGTGAGGTAATATACATATAAGTTAACATTGTCATCTTCATCATAAAAATTCGTTTTATAAAATAAAAATATACCTTTGCAGAAAAATAACAGTTTATTCATATATATATATATGCAAATAAACTACAAACAATAAATAACAGTGAGTAAATAATAAGGAAAACAGCAGTTGATTCATAATTAGCCATTTAAATATTTTTTAATTCCAGGTGCCTGGGCAAACATTTCCTCCATTATATCTTCAATTTTTGCTTTAGCCAAAATATCCTTCTGTATGTTCATCCATAGCAATGACTCCAAATTAGCTTACTTCATAGTCCTCCTTAATCTGCATTTTACAATTTTTAAAAAGCTCTTTCGCATTCACCTTGCATTACAAATATGGCGAGTACAAATTTATAAGCAAAAAAGACATTGACATACGTGCTACTATATAAATTATATTTCAAAAGCACTTTATATATACACAAGATGCAATTGCGGTCAATCTTTGGATTATGGTAACTTGGCGATTTTTTGGTGAAAATTTGGCGACCAACCCTGCTACAGCAACCTGCTAGTTTTGTATGGACGCCATTTTGTTTTCACGAAGACTTTTTTTTTTTTTTTTACGCAACATTTTTTTCCCAACAAGATGCTAGCCGAATTACGCTTATGCTAGAACTTTTATGGAACAAAAGTGCTTAATCATGACGAAGATTAGGTGCAAAATTGGGAGAAAGTGCAGAATCGCAAACTGCTTGCCGCGTTTTTAAGAATTGCACATACACGGTATCCATGAACACGTCGACCTATTTTCACTTAAAAAAACATCCCAGAATTGCAGAAAAATGGCATTGCGCACACTCTTGTCTCTATCCATGTACACTGCAAAAGTCCTACTAGCTAGTAACCTTTATTGCCATACCAAAATGTCGCCAAAACTACCTGTTACCATATTCTAAAGATTAGCCGCAACTGCATTCAGCCTTGGACGAATGCTCATTAACAGATAAAGCACTCTCTCCTTCCAACTCGGTATCAGATTCAAAATAATGATTTTCAATTGAAATTTTTAGTAATTTCCATTTACTTACTAGGTCTTGATATTCATCCTTAAGATTATCAGTTGTTACACTTGCATAGTGGCCTAATAATATAGATAAATAGTCGAAAGAGTTTGGCGACAATGGCTTTGAAAAGTTTTTGGATCGAGAAGAGATATGTCTCCATATAACTTCCTATACCCTTCAAACTTATTTTTCATCGATGAAATGGTGCTGGCCATTATAAAATTAAAGACAGTAACTTTGAATTGTTTGACAGGACAATTGAAATTATAGTTGCATGATTTTGTTTTAAATTATGGCTTTATCATGAAGTCAAAATCATTTAGTTTTCGAGCCTAATTTCAGCTTTGTGACCTGTTTATCATTAAAAAAAGCCTTGCTGCATCACTGCTTCATGAAGTTAAATCACAAGTTGCTCAAAAAGCAAATGACAATCTTAAAACAGAATTTGTAATTGACTGTAAAAGGAAGAAGTAACATTCCTGATGATACAATCACAGCTACACGGATTTATTATGAAGCAATCTTTTCTTGAAACTATGGTATTATTACAAAGTGCAAAATGCTAATTCAAGAAAAGTGCAGATTACTACAAATTGATAATGCTTTACATTTATGCAAGCAATTATAAGTGACAATGCTGAAGTGAAGGACAGATAGCTTAACAACACTGATCATAATTAATATGTGGACGTTCTTAATGGTTAAATTTATTTGGACAAAATTTAATATTTGATGCTGTCCTCAAGTGAGCAGTTAAGATAAAAAATTATTTTAGGAATAACCATTTACCTATACCATTTAGTAGAATAGGCTTTAAGAATGCACAGAATCAGTAAATTCTATTACAGATGTTACTAAGTGGAAAGTCAAAATCTTTTATTTTAACCTAAATCAATCAATGTTTTGTTGGATATTGGCTAATCTTTGGAATATGGTAACAGGTACTTTGGCGACATTTTGGTAAGCGATTAGGTTACTAGCTAGGACTTTAGCAGTGTACATAGATAAAGTCGAGTGTGCGCAATGCTATTTTTGTGCAATTCTGATATGTTTTTTTAAGTGAAAATAGGTCAACGTGTACATGGTTACCGCGTATGTGCAGTTCTAAAAAACGCGGCAAGCAGTTTGCGATTCTGCACTTTCTCCCAATTTCGCACTTAATCTTCATCATGATTAAGCACTTTTATTCCATAAAAGTTCTAGCATAAGCATAATTCAGCTAGATTGTTGGAAAAAAATTTTGAGTTAAAAAAAAAAAAAAAAATGCCTTTACTTTGTGAAAAGAAAATGGCATCCAAACAAAAACTAGCAGGTTGCTGTAGCAGGGATGGTCGCCAAATTTTCGCCACAAAATCGCCAAGTTACCATAATCCAAAGATTAACCTAGATATTCTTAAAGATACAGCTACAATTGAGAAAGAACACAAACACGCTTAAGTAGAACTTAAAATTAGGCAAAACAACAACCTTAAGCTTGGCATAATTTTAACTGAAATCTATTAATTTCAAAGGTGAACAGGTACAGGTTCTTTTTGCACCTTATTTATAAATAATTACAGTAGTTATATTAATTATTTAAATTACACTTAATGGATGACAAATCTGTAATCTTTATTAACAATCAAGTTCATATTGATTTTCAAAATATACAGTCCGTTATACTCACAGTACAAGCTTTGCTTCTTCAGATAGAAGCTCATTAAATTCAAGGCAGTATTATAAACATTAAAAGTTTACAATTGGTTGCCCCTTGTTTTGTGGCGATTCTTTTTTTAAGCCAAGATCGGTGCCAGGAAGGCGCCTGCTACACAGTACCAAAATACGAAGTTAAAGAATTGCACAAACTCTGTGTCCATGTACACATCGATGTGTTTTCACTTAAAAAAACATCCTAGAATTGCACAAACTAGGCATTGCACACTGCCTTAAATTTGCCCATGTGCACATCAATCTATTTTCATTTAAATAAAATCATGAAGCTAAAACAAAGTTAAAACTATCATGGTAACCAGAAGTGAAGTTTTATCATCAATTTTTTTTGTTAATTGTTGCTAATCAAAGGGGCACCCAATTCTACACTAGAGCCATTTTGAGAAGTGATATAATTTTCTGCCATCTAATACTTTATAATTTAACTTCAAAAACCATTAATACTCATACAATATAAAACCTATAAATCAGTAAAAATTACAGCGGAAGATACAGAATCACCCACTGCTTGCTGTGTTTTTAAGAATTGCACAAACTCGGTATCCACATTGACCTATTTTCACTTTAAAAAAAAATTAGAGAATTGCACAAAGTCAGCATTGCGCACTCCCTTAACTTTGTCCATGTACACATCAATGTATTTTTCACTTAAAAAGTCAAAGGAAATTGACAAAAATCCAATTCCTTTTACTCTTTCTTGTAAGGGAATTCCCTCAGGGGAAATTATTGGGCTCATTAGGTGGATTGAAAAAGTGTTTATTATTGGAAAGTGTTATATATACCTGAATATTTGATATAGTCAATTGTAAAAATTCCCAGGAGTTTGGTACCTTGTCGTGGTCTGAGGGCTCCACCTCCCATCCAAACTCTAAAAGAGATTGACAATGGATCAGAATATTTAGAATGAATTAATAGAAGCAGCTCAAACTATAATAAGTGAGCTTGAAACTTGCTTGGAAGATGCAAGTAGAGTTACAATAGCAATAAGAAAGAAAGTTTTTAATACACAAGAAGTGTTGTTTAGTTAGTTGGTATCTCAAGCATTAGAGATTGAAAGTTTAAAAGGAAAATTAGAAATTTTGGAATAGAAACCACAACATGAGAGAACTTTTGCTGAAGTTCTTAATGAGAAACAAATATATGATAAGAAAGCTTATCCAAAAAAAGATAGAACCAAGAAAATGGAAAAGCATGTGATGCTAATATATCCTAATAAAAAGGGAACTTCTTCTGAAGAAGTAAAATTAAAAGTGGTTGAAGTGATAGACCCAGTTGAGTTGAAGATTGGTATTAAAAATGTTAGGAAAGTGAAAAATGGAGGTCTGGCTGCACAATGTTCGACATTATCTCACTTGAACAAGAAATAATCTCTTTTGAGAGATATCTCTAATATCTCTTTTGAGAGATGAAATTCAAGTAAAAGCTCCTAAAAAGAAACAGCCTAAAATTATATTGTATAACTTGGATGAAGAAATGAATAAAAACGATATTCTAGAAGCAATTAAGAGACAAAATCAAATATTCGAAAATGAAGGAATTGAACTTTTGTTCAAAATAAAAGCTAGAAACCAAAAAGTTCATTGGGTAGCAAATATTCAACCAGATAAGTTTGGTTCAATTATGAACCAAATTAAAATTAATTTGAAATGGCATAGAATTACAATAAAACAGTACTTAAATGTCGTTAGATGTTTCAAATATCAAGAATTTGGTCATTTTCAAAAAAAAATGTGTAAAGGATCTGATATGTGGTAAATGTTCTAAGAAAGGGCATAATCATTGGGAATGTAAAAATGAAACTGAATGCATTAATTGTGTACAAGCGAATAATAAATTAGCTTTAGAAACTAAGCATTCTAGCTCAGATAAAAACTGTTCCTGTTTTAGAAGACAAGTGGATCTTCTAATAAGAAGAACTGATTATGGGTAATACACCAACAAAATATGACATCTTCCTGTTTTAGAAGACAAATGGATCTTCTAATAAGAAATAATTATGGGTAATGCACCCATAAAATATGATAAAATTGAAAAATAAATGATGGATAATCTTGGACATTGAACTCTATTGGCTATTGTATATATTACATATGTAAAAATATGATAAAAACAAATTGAAAAAGTTATTCATTTTGTTATAGTCTCTGTTCATCATAAAATTTATTCAAGATTGTATATTCTTGTACAAATAATATTTTTTATCACAAGGATGTCAATAATTTTACTATAATTTGTATTATTGAATTGAAGAAAAATGTTTATTTAATGTTTTCCTAAGTAAGGATTATGTTATTTTAATTAAAAGATTATGTTTTATTTTTGTTGTGTTTTGTATGTTATTTTTGTTGTAATAAATTGTTTCATTAATTTCAAATAGAAGTCCCAATAAACCCTGCTTATACCATTAAGGTTCACAGGATATATAACCAGTATTACTCTTGTAAAAAGCGCCAAACATAACCCACCAAATAAGTAGCCGATTCTGCAGTTCACCAGAATTACATTCTATTTCATTTTAGATGGCTGCTATTTAGGTTTAATACAGTTGTTCCTAGCCATTTAATTTTAGATACAACACAGCATTCAAAACATTTTTTTATATATTATTATTATTCTTTATATTTCCAAACCATCAAAACATACATCGAGAAGAAGTAGGTAGTTAAAAAGATCATTTTAGGCGAAAATATGCATTATAAAGATGCTTTATCAAACTAAACCGTGCTAATCCAATTATTGTTAGCATACAAATATAAAATACGAGAATGCTAATACACAATTACCTTACGACTCCCATACCTCTTCTTTCGTTAATAGCACATTCAAAATATTGTACCCATAACATCAATGCGCACGCGCAGAGTAAAGAGGGGGAAAAAAAATTATCCTCGTGTTGCAACAGTTAAGACTTTTTGCCCACAGGATGAGTTAAAAAAAACCCACAAACATAGTGTTAACTTTCTGCCCAGATTTCATAAATATGGCAATCCACCAATCAAATGCTGTGATTTTACCAAACATTGCACGAAAATTATTTCTATTGCTCTGAGTTGGTAACCCCGTATTTACAAAAAGCTATCAGTGCATCACGGACTCTAGAGATTAATAAACGTATTCTAAAGTATCCATTTATTGCTGGGAATAAGTTTGAACCATAAATAAAACCTCACTCGCGTAAATAACAAAACTTCCTTTTCATAATTCTACTTACTTCAAGCACATATTTTTGTTAATTGTATAAGTTTTTTTTGTTGCCACTTCCAAAAACAAAACTGAAAAAATTATTAGTGGCCACAAAATCCTAAGTAAATGTAATGAAATGTAAGAAATACTAACTAGATGTCATCTGAAATCCACCACTTATCAACTCACGTGTCTGGGAATACATGTATAATAACTCACAGCCTGAACTATAATCATACAGATCACGATTCTTTATTGGTAAATTACGGAATCTTACTTGATGATACAGACAGAAGCGTGGCTAGGGGGAAGCAATGGGGGACACCTGTCCCCGGGTGCAGTATCCAGGGGGCGCTAAATTCATGTTAAGAAATTTTAGAATGAAATGCTTTCCATTCTTGACAAACAGAAAGGGGGCACGAAATCTTCACTTGTTCCCGTGCTCTGAAAAGCTTAGCTACGACTCTAGATACAAAGTTTTTTTAATGGGGATTGTGACTGACTATGAATCATGTGTCTTTCAAAGAAGCATAGACTAGTTTCGTTCAGGGCCAGATTACCAATTAGGCACAGTAGGCACGTGCCTAGGGCCTACGAAGGCCAAAGGTCTTAGGGCTTTGAAAAAAAATATATTGAAATAAAATACCCAAAACTTATAAGCATTTTTATATTATTATATAGTTAAGGTCAAAATAATATGTAATACAAATACACAAAAAATACGAATACAAACGTTTGGTTTCTAAGTAGATTTAAAATAACTCCTTTTTTCGGGATTTTGACACAGCGATTCGTGTATTATATCTTCAAATTAATGCCGCGAGCGACACACTTTCAATACACAGAAGGCCCGGACGAGTGTCTCTTGACCCATAGTTGAATGCAATAAATTTTTTATATCTTCAACTTGAGAATGACTTTTCCTCTTTGCATTCGAACGCAATATCGAAAGGTATATGCGCAATGCAATATTACATTGGGAACTGACACAAGTTTATCCTTATTTGTATTTGATGAGATCCGTTGTAGAGGTGGTTTGGGTACAAATTGAAAAATCACTCATTAACAAGTTTTCTTCTAAGTCAGACGGATACATTTTACCAGAGCTTGAGCCTTAACCTTGAAATGTTCTCGGTCAGGTATTTCCGTAAGAAAATAAATGTGTCATAAAGGCTGGTATACGGTGCGTCTCTTGTCATTTCAGCGCAAGCACATCCGAAAAATAAAAAAAACATTAATCTTAAGGAATCTTTGCAACTGCGAGAGGAGTCTTATCTGGCCCTTCAGCGAACTGTCGTTTTCTCTTACGCTCTAGTTTGGATTCTTAAATTCTGAATCGGTGCAAGGGCTTTTGCCTTAAGATAATAGTTAACATGTCCTCATTTGCAGTGAGATAATATGAATTAAACTTGTAAGTCGCCCCTCGTGTAACTCGATGCCAGGTTCTGAAGAGATTTATTTACAATATCGACGTGTTTTAGTAGATCTTCCCAAATAACTGTGAGTATACCATCTCCAAGTATTCATTTGATGGATTATGTTTGTGCCTCAATCACTGTGTAGGTTTCATACCTTCACTAGTTGAATATTGTAAGATACCACGATATATCAATGGGCACATAATGTTTTACAGCTATAACGTGCCCATCTGGTCTCTGAAAGTCTTTTACAGAAATTTTCTTCCCAAAGACCTTAGTTTAGCCATCTTTTGAGGGGCGCGCAAAGAATTGTAGAGCGATTGCAAAATTTCAAAAAATTTACAGCTTCAAGCACTTCTGCCGCTGCTGGCCACTAATTAAGACTATGAGCTCCACATGGTACCCAAGTGGCTCGCTGTTGATTTCCCTAAATCTAGTTTGTACTCCCGAATACACTCCGCTCAATTAGCCGCATAGTCATAAGACTGACATCTGCAAAATTTGGGTCTATTCCTGATTTTCTAAAACTGAATTAGGTTCAAAAGCTTGGCATCATGTTTTCTATTTAACAAACATAAAAAATCTTTCATCTATATCTCCATTTTTGAGACATATCTAATAACTATGGAGAGTTGATCCGTATGGCTAACGTCGGGTAGAATCCACAGTGATCCATAATGCTTGGTTCTTTGATTTCTGTAATATTTTTTCCAATACTTGACCCCAGAAAATATTAGTTCTTATACGTTGTGGAGGTACATATGTACTTTTCCGCGGCCGGATTACCGTATCTTCCTTACATTTCTCTAGAAACGGTCAAATTTGGCTAAGAGATCGAGCACCCAGAAAATTCATTACAGGATCACATGTATTCATTATCGCCTCTAAACCTAGTCCCCTTTCGGCCAAAAACTTAATACTTCCACTACTCTTCTTAAAACAGTTGTCCAATATGTGTTTCTTTTCCTTGACAATATCAAACGTCTCATCAATTTTTCTAGTTTGTTGGTAGTTCACTAAAGCAGAAAATGCAAAATTCTTTTTGACATTCATGACTTGAATTTCGAATGTGCTTTTTCCCGTCATTAAAGCCTGTAAGGAATTGGTTACAAGGTTTGGATTTCCAGGTAGGTTCCGATTTGAACAAAATACATTTAAACAAAAAAATTGCCGTAGATTCGGAAATATCACCAGTTCCCTTTTTATAAATCATTGTTGTTCAGTTTTTCTGAAAAAAATCTTGTGGGACATCTCCTTATTTCGCCAAATTTAGTGGCGTAATAACTTAAAATTTATATCCATTTCTGCACAGGGTGATTACGAGAGAGTAATCGATAAGATTGCTTATGGTTGTCCCCGTCTGGATCAGAACTGAAATACTTGAGGCTGATGTTGTGGTGTGATTCAGGCACCACCTGCTTTCGAAGCGTCGTTAAAATTTCGTAAACCACCGTCAGCCTCGTCTTCTGTGACTTCAGTTTTATTGGTTGAACATTCTTGCGAGTCCCAACAGCCTCAGCTTCTTTAGGTCTAACTCGATCGAGGAAATATCTACCGCATCTCCATTATCTTCGTCTCCTTAGAATTTAATATTTCAATAAAGCCCCTTTAATTTTCTAAGCGCCACTCACTTCTCTTTCTTTTGCGTTTTTATGTCCCTTTGGTTTCTTTATATCCATCAGACATTTTTCGCTAAAAAAAAAATATTTAAAACTTTTATAAATTGCGCTTAAAATTTAAATAATTTTTAACTTTCTGAATACCAAAAAAAAACGCAGCAACAAACTAAAAAACTTGTTTTTCTTCTTCTCTCACCTTTAAATATCATTTTAGTTTGCGCCCGCGCTTTTATTATGCTCAGAAAGCTAAAAAGTTATTTAAATTTGTTAAGTAATGCATTTTAAACTTGTAAAAACGAACCCGGATTTTACGAGTATGGATAAAATTAAGCTATCCAAAGGTGATTTGCTGTACTTTTCTACGACTACTACTGGAGATTTTTTACAATAGTAGGCCAAACCACCCATAGTAGGCCTACCAAAGTTCCTTGCATGTGTGCCTGCATTCTCGGCGGACTATACTATAAAATGATAAAATGAAAATTCTATTATTTATAATGAATGAAGCAATCGAATCAAAACTAGGTTGAAATTAGTAGAGTTAAAACAACTTTCCTTTACTTCCTTACTTATAATAAATTTACTTCCAGTTTTTAAAATAAAGATTGACTTGGGTTGAGCGTGAAATACAAGCACGGCATACACGCTCTATCTTGTTACATATTATTATTACACAAGAGCTACTAAAACAAAGACTAGAGCAGGGAAACCTCTCGATCGCGCGCAAGCGTTTGGTAGGGGCATGGAAACGCCCAACTGTGTCAAATCATGTGCCCGTCCAGAGGTTTTCCCGCCGCGGCTAATGTCTGTCATGTTCATGTCACAAAACCCTGGAATTGCAGGAATGGGTAGATATAAAGTTGCATTGTTGCAGATAACTCATTCTGGATTTAGGCTATGAATGGCTCTATAAATAAAAACATTAAAATCCCAAAATAAATAATGTTATTTTACGTCCCATCACATTTTGGATTTATTCTACAACAAAATTATTACTTAATATTAGCGTCAATTTCAGTTAAAAATGTTTATTTTTCGGGGCTACTGCTGGAGTGCCTAGGGCCTAAGACACCCTTAATCCGGCCCTGTTTCGTGTATTCCATTTTAGTTATATGTTTGTCATCATAATATTCTATTTTCAATGTAGGATTATGAATTTATTACAGATAAATTTTAAGTACCTTTCTTGTCGATTTAACGTAACTACTACTTCCGGCCAGACGTAGTTGAGAATCACGTATTAATACATAGGGAGGAGCGAAGTTCTCGTTTAGGAAGATAGTTACCGTATACTGTCGGCACGCGTCCGTCTTTATAGCTATCTCTTAGAAGATTTAAAGATAGCCTATAATACACCTTTCTTTGTCAGACTGGAAGCATTTCATTCTAAATTCTTACATAAGGACTTCAAACCCAAGGTCGGCTTTATTGTACACTCCAACGGAGTCTGTTAAATTTTTGATAATAAAGGGTTATTACCATTCCATTGTTGTTTTGTCCCACGAATCAAGCGATATTCGCTTACTTCTTACGGGCTTCACTTTCTACAGTAACTGAGAATTACACGGTGAGGAATCCCACAACAAGAAATCTTCATTTTCATATCACATGCTCGAACGCAATGAATTCCTAATTATAAAGCAACCATACAAC